GATTTAAATTGTATACATATTTTATACCTATAATTATGATGGGTAAAGATGGGTAGATGAAAGATGAGATGAGAGATGAAAGATGAGATGATAGATGAAAGATGAGAGATGATATAGATGATATAGATGATGAGAGGTGAAAGATGATGAGAAGCGATGGCCCAGTCATCTAGCAGAGTATAGATGACAACCACTGACTATTCTAGATAGTCCAGTGGAACAATAGCAGGCTCGCAACCTATTGGTGTTGTGAACGTCGTGTTCACCAGATGTACTCTAAAACCCATTGACATGTATGGTGGGTGGACTCCCTAAAATAATACTGTCAATAAAAGAGATAAACCCTGGCAACTATGGATTTAGTGCCCTATAGATGAACATCGGCAACTATGGACTTAGTGCCTGTTAAATAAACGCTGGCAGCAATGGACTTCGTGCGTATTCCTTAAGACAATCCTTAGGAATGAATGAGTGAGTGATAGATGATTCTTAGGATAGACCCTTAAGAAATAAAGAAGATAATAGGGATGGATAAATTGGGCTAATTGTTTGATGATGAAACATAATAAATTTATTATGGTGGGCTGAAAAACCTATGTACTCAACAGGTTTCCCAACCTGACCCACTCAGTTTATTTGTATCACACGTATCGATACGAGGACACTTTACACTGAGAGATTAAAGGAGATATAAATCACTAGTGTAAATGAATGTAAGGTCTGTTTATGCTTATTTTTCTGTATTGATGATGACATCTCTAAGTTTTAATATAAACAAAATACATTTATTTGGAAATGCTTTGATAGTTTATTTATAATGTTTACTGGGAACAAATTCTGCAATATTATTCTGTAAAATGAATACACTGGTTTTCAAATAAGCATAAATAAATTTTTTAAAATGACCGTGAATTTGGGGATGTCACACTTTTTAGCTATATATTTTTTTAGCAAACAAGAAAAATGAATCATTAGATGATTCATAAGAAAAATTTCTCAAAAAAACACCTACATGGTTCGTTTTTAAGTAAATCAAAAACAAATTCGCTTCAATGAGGTTACTAATGAGCAAGTGGTTTATATGTTTAATGAGATGGGTCATAAACCCCTTCTCACTAAACCTAGTCAGTTCAAGAAATCATCTTTACCATGTGTATGGAATTTCCTATCTGGAATTTTTCTTCGATGCTTGACAGGAAGAAGTGTGGGATTGGACAAAGGCAGACTTGGAATTTATGCCATGGTTGCTGGTCTGTATTACGATTTGCAGGTTGATTATGCTATTCATCGTTGGGAAGAATTTGGTGTCAGTATTTCACATACGAATGTAGCTAATGGAGTTTATTGTGCAAGATATTGGAGTCTGATTCTTCAATATGTGTATGAGAAGGAAGGTATTTTGGTTCCTAATGATGTTCATACTGCTGAATTTGGGATTTATCAATATCCACAGAATGTTGAAGATGACTCAGAAGAGTTTCCCACTGTTGCAAGAATTCCAGATGCGATGCTTCACAAGGTTGATCCCACAAACCCAATTCTTGTTGGGTTTTGAGCATTCTAACACTCCTATGGTGTACATGCAACCCTATAAACCTTGAATCTATGTTTTCTCTATTATACATGCAAATATTAACTATTCCAAGGTTTCATCCTAACTAGCATATTATGAAGCACATATACTACAAAGTTCTAGTTAGATGACATACCTTTTGATGTAGCTTGATGTCTTCAAGCTTTAAGAGCTTAGCCCCAATAGTGTGGAAGCCTCAAATGGAATCACAAATCACCAAAACACCTTGGAAGAACTTGAGAGAATATGTATGCACACTAAAATCGGCCCACTCTTATTTTCACACACTTGTGCCAATTTTGTGAGCCAAAGACCCCTTTATATATTATGGAGGATTAGGGTTACATCCATGTAAACCCTAATACCCATGACCTTTCATTTACATAGGATCCATGGGTTAAAAGCTCCATGGACCATCCATGAAAGCTTAGCCCAACCTAAATGAACTTGGCCCATTTCATATATATAAGAGTCCATATTTAATTAGTTCTTTTTGATCACTTAATTAATTCTAAATTAATTCTTGATCAATACTAATTAAATAATATGATTCCATATTAATATATTAGAACTTATAATATATTAATATAAATCATAAATATACTATTCTCAAAAGACTATCCATATAAATTGTGCCGGTGAAGTGCAACCCAAATGGACCATGCTGGGTCGGGTCAAGTACATACCAAATATAGTTATGGACTTAGACATTAATCCAACAGTCTCCCACTTGGATAAGTCTAAAACTATTATTGAGTATGACTTCAAAACCTAACTGGCAATCGTAGCTCTTAAAGTTGTTGTCGAACTCTGACCTTGTCAATGACTTGTCCATTAGATAAGGGATCATATATTCCTCCATTCTAGATATCATATGGACTAAGACATGGATTATAATCATTCTCTCTGTCCATTTGTTGTTTCCCGATTTTCGATTTATGATGACTGACTGATTGAACAAATCAAATCAGTCCTGTCTTGGCCAAGCACTCACATGTGTCATCGCTAAATCATCGAGGGGCCCACAGATATCGCTTTTATCCCAAAGGTAAAAGGAATGGATAAAATTCGACTCATATGGCTTGTTCTACTACTTGTTGAATCATACACAAAGGCACGTTTTATAACATCGAGTTACCAAATGCGTTTTCGTGCAATCAATGTATAACCAACTCATAGTAACAACTCATATCTCTAGGTTTGAAGAATATAAGATATTATCGTCTCATGATCGCTCGTGATAAAATCCATGAAGTGATTCAAATGAGCGCGGGTTGAATCCAATACTCAGAACTTATGAGCACTCATGAGTGTTGTAGCACCACTTTGTCCACCAACTTCGACCTCTACAAACCAACCCATGACAGTCTTGATTCATATCTACTTCCAACATATGACCGACTGTGGATGGTTTGAATAACTTAATCATTCAGGAAGAGCGACTTAGTTATTCTGGAAGTCAAAACATGCAAAGTGAAACACAAGAATAAATGAATCAAATATGGTATCAAACCCTATCAATATAAATAAACACTTTTATTTATCACCATACTGATTACTCATTATTCATTGTTTCAGTTTTATCAACTTTATACTTGAATTAAAAACACTAGTTGTCCCATGCTCCAAGCATGTACACTACGTTTTTCTTAAACAATAGTTTTGCCATACACCAAGTATGCACTCTATGTTTGTCTATGATCCTTACTTTGTGAAATAAACCAATTGAACATAATTTCAATGATTCTAATTTCACACTCCCAAATCCTTATCGAAAAATGTGAGAATTTCAAATTCCTATCATTTATCGAAATCTATTTAGATTTTAAACTTATATGCACTGACCCTCCTGTAATGAATATGTACAAAGTCACAAAGACTTGTCAACAGTCATTATAAGGTATTCCAATGGAGATCAACTCCATGGAAACTAAGTCTCATATTCAAAGTACATTGCTTTGGACATGTTTCTTGCATTAAGTTTTCTAATCTTACACAGATAACTTCCACCTATGGAGACAACTCCATATTCTCATTTTTACTATCACTTCTGAATAAGAGATGCCTCTTTTCAGAATATGTCAATATGGTCCTTCCAAAATTAGCACTATACTTCCAACTGTCCATGAGCAACCAATCTTTGGTAAACCTCAAATTTCCAAAACTTGAGGGCAAGTTTTGTAATTCTTGAAAACCTTTGGATTCCATAACTTATGGAATTAATGGTGTTTTATGATGAAACTTTCCATGTTCCATAACTTAAGAACAAGTTATGGAATTCTTTAAAACATTAACACCAAATTTTGTAACTCCATAAAACTTTGAATCAAATTTTTTTTTTTAAAAAAAAAACTTTCATATCCATAACTTATGGAAGTTTCAAAAACCCTTAAGATCACAACTTTAAAAAAAACTTTCGAGCTCCAAAATTTTATGACAAAATATGTAACTCCTTAAAACATTTAGATCAAACTTTTAAAACTAATAAAATAATCATATCATTTTATCTTTTACTAAATTTGACCTAATTCAACTCATATAACAAATGATTCAAATTTTACAAATAATTCGTTTTTCACAAAACAAGTAATTATCTTAAAATTTGACAAACGTCATGTTTTTTTTTTCCTTTTTTTCAACTTGAAAATAAAACATTTGCATCAATATAACAGAAAACAACCCATGGCTCTGATACCACTGTTGGGTTTTGAGCATTCTAACACTCCTATGGTGTACATGCAACCCTATAAACCTTTGATCTATGTTTTCTCTATTATACATGCAAATATTAACTATTCCAAGGTTTCATCCTAACTAGCATATTATGAAGCACCTATACTACAAAGTTCTAGTTAGATGACATACCTTTTGATGTAGCTTGATGTCTTCAAGCTTTAAGAGCTTAGCCCCAATAGTGTGGAAGCCTCAAATGGAATCACAAATCACCAAAACACCTTGGAAGAACTTGAGAGAATATGTATGCACATTAAAATCGGCCCACTCTTATTTTCACACACTTGTGCCAATTTTGTGAGCCAAGGACCCCTTTATATATTATGGAGGATTAGGGTTACATCCATGTAAACCCTAATACCCATGACCTTTCATTTACATAGGATCCATGGGTTAAAAAGCTCCATGGACCATCCATGAAAGCTTAGCCCAACCTAAATGAACTTGGCCCATTCCATATATATAAGAGTCCATATTTAATTAGTTCTTTTTGATCACTTAATTAATTCTAAATTAATTCTTGATCAATACTAATTAAATAATATGATTCCATATTAATATATTAGAACTTATAATATATTAATATAAATCATAAATATACTATTCTCAAAAGACTATCCATATAAATTGTACCGGTGAAGTGCAACCCAAATGGACCATGCCGGGTCGGGTCAAGTACATACCAAATATAGTTATGGACTTAGACATTAATCCAACAATTCTTGTGGCTTATCTTCAATCAGTCAATCATTCTGTCGGAACCGGTGTTTTGTTACCCAAAGAAACTGCAGGCTCTTCCAAACGTGGCAAGAGTCCCAATAAATCTTCCAAGGTTGAAAAACCTAAAGTTGTTCCTGAGGTTGTTAAGGAAGTTGTTACAAAGCTTGTTACTGAGCCTGTTCAAGAAACCATTGTCCAGGATGTTCACACGGAGGTCGTGCCATCGAAGACTGGTATCTTAAAGCGTACGAAGAATCCTGCTCATAGACCTCTCCATTCACCAGATCCGAGGCCTATTATTGAAGATGTTGCTGTATAAACTGTTTCTTCACCCAAGGGATCTTTTGCTTCAAAGTTACCAAAGATTTGAAAACCCCAGATCAATCGAAAGGGGGTAATTATTCGTGAAATCCCTGCTCCAGTTTCTCCGGCTTCAAAGAAACGAAGAGCTCATGGATTGGTAAAGAAGATCTAGACGAAGCAAAAGAAGTTGGAAGAGTCACTTGATGAAGTGGTGGTTGAGTCTGATTTCGAAGAGGAGGGTACTCCATCTCCAATTCGAATTAAAGACATAGGCTTCAAATCATCTCAGAGGGATTCTCCTGTCAAGTCGAATTTCGAGGCGACTGGAAATCCTGGTGGCAATGTGAAAACATTTAATGTGGACACAACCACTAATCTGGGTGATCCTTCTCTTTTATCCATCTCTGAGCAGACACAGGTCATACCACCCGAAGTTTCGTCTACCAAGTCAATTCCAGAGGAGGTACGAACTTCAGACATCACTGTGGACATATCTAATATGGACACAAATGTCAATATGGGTGATGGGATGTCGACTAACAAAGCTCTAGGTATTTCGAATGTCTCTACTTCATCCATTCCTGTTTCTATCATTACTTTATCCACATTCGAAACCATTGTTATTGATACCTCCATTTAGTTACCACCATTCATTTCACCAATTCCCACATCTTTACCTGCATCCACTATCTCGCCTACGTTTTCGAACATTATGGATCAACCTATCACCTCTTTATTTTCCTCACAATCAACCGATGGTCCAAAGTCTACTTCGGAGGTTGAACAGGATGATGATGATTATATGGTGTCTTTTGGAGATATTCAGTTCGATCCTGAGGAGGAGAATACTCCTGATCACATGTTGATGTCAGGAAAGCAATTTAAAATCCTCAATTGCAAGTTGAATTCTTTGCTTCAACTTCAAGCAGATACAGGAAGTCGCAACACTGTGTCCAGAATTGAAGTCGATGTTTTGTTGAAAGCCCAAGAACACCGTTTGAGAACTATCATATGACAGATTGATACGAAGAATGAAATGTGTTTGAAGTGACAATCTGATTCTTTTAATCATGAAGTTAAATATTTGAGGACTGTTGCTAAGGAACGACATCTTCTCTTTGTCGAAGTTGTAAAGAGAGTACAGTTCGATGTTAATTTCAATATTGAAGAACTTCGTTCTGAGATGACGAAGGAAGTTTCTAAGGTTGATTAGAACTATTACAATCTTCATACAAAGGTTGATATAGTTGTTGATGTTGTAAAGAAGATTGTTGAGTTCTCTAATTCTCTTATCTCCAAAGTTGATTTGAAGTCAGAGTCTGATTCGAAAGGTTTTGCCAAGCTGGAAGAATTATTGGGGAATGTGAAGGAGTTAATTTCAAAATTAATGTTTCTCCTTCATCTTCGGTTTCCCAAGAAGCAATGTCCAACATGTTTTCTTCGTTGGAGTCTAAACTGAGGGCTGATCTAGCACCTCTTATGAAGTTTGTCAATTTGATGCCTTCGGATGCCCCACCTGTTAAAACAGGGGTGCAAGGGGGAGAAAAGGGTGGTGATTCCAGTGTTTTGAGAGGTGTCGATACTGGTTCTTCGAAAGATCATTCTCAAGGAAAGATTGTAGGGAAGGTTATGACTACGCAGATTCCTACTTCGCTTCCAACTTCAATGTTGACGACCTCAACTACCATGACTTCGAAGCCTTTAAGCAAAGGTATTGTTATTGGTTCATCAGCTGGTGGATCAAGTTCAAATCCAGATCCTTCAAATAAAGAAATGGAAGGAAAAGTTAAGGGTATCAAGGCTGAACCAACTGAAGAAGAGAAGAAGATTGCCTTAGAAAAGGAAATGGAAAGACAAAGGCAAATCCACAGCATTCTAAGACAAAGGCAAGGAGACCCACCTGGTCTTGAGAAGGGTGACCCAACAAAGCCATACTGTTACGAGACAATCGAACAAATTGTTTCTCTTCGTAACATGCATGATTTTCTCAAAGTCCCAAAGAAGAGCCATGAGATAGAAAATTCAAACTTCAATCAAATGGATTTTCCTATCAACCATATGACGTTCATATCAGCTCAATATCAATTAATAGACAAATTCGAAGACAAAGAAGAGTTCAAGAAGCTAAAAATGAGGTTTCATGCAGTACTTGGAAAGAAAGAAGAAGATATTTGGTCATTAGTAAAGATTGTCAAGGTGTTGGGTATAACTAAGGATCAACTATTCGAAGGGTTATTGCAGAACTTTCGTTTTCACGTAGTTCGTGCCAATAATGTGGCTTGTGATTTCTTTGTAGTTGATTTTCCTTTGATGAATCTTAATGATCTCATCTGTGTGGCAAAAATTCTAAGTGGGGTTGATGCTTCGAAACTTCAGGTGACTAGCAAAGAAGATTTCTTGCTTGGGTTTGCACATATCAAGCTTTTCACTGACCATTATTGTGATTGTCTTGCCTTAACGAATGTGGAACTAGCTTTGGCGATGGGAAAACAAATTACTGTGCCACAATATTTGTTGAAAGGTGTGGGGAGCTTGAAGAATTTTGATGAAGGTGAAATTTGTGTTAAACCATTGGGAATAGTTTTTGTTGGGAAGAATAAAAACAAAAAGAATACAAAGTTTTTATTCAAAGTTGAGGATGTTGAAAGAGACACTAATTCCCAGTATACGAATCTACTTGTTTGTATCAATAATTGCAAGAAGAATATTGAAGGTGACAAAGCTGAAGTTCGAAGATCAATCATTTGGAACATGGAAGTTAGAAGAGTTGTTCACCAGGAAATGAAGATGCTAATGACCTAGGACTCGACACTGCTCACAAAGGGGGAGAATGTTGAGGTCGAATGGTGTTGTGAGGTGTCGAAGTGTCATGAGTCTGTCTTAGTGTCGAAGACTGTTTGTCAGCTTTCATTGTATGTATTTGATAGGGGAACTTTTGTATGTCGAAGCTTAATAATTTTAGCCCTTATGTATTTTTTTATAAACGTCTGTAATGCCTATAAATAGGGATAGGTACTAGAGATAGAGTAACTCTTGAGCATTTCGTGTTCTTACTCTATTCGCTCTCTGTAACCTTCAGAAGTTTAATTGAGCCATCCAGATCATATTTACTCCTTGTGTTCATGATTCAATCTAAACTCTGATTTCATTTCATATACTCGATCTTTAACAACTACATTTGGTATCAGAGCAGGATTCCTACATCTCATCTCTGATTTTCTCAAGGTTTCAAAAGTTTTTGAATCTCGTTCTAGATTCAAAATATTCCGCACTTTTGAGTTTGAAAATCTTTTCTGATCATCTGTATCGATTCGATTCTGCTTTTAGTTTGTTAAATAGAGTGTTCGGTGATTGATTTCTGGAAGATCTACTCCTTAAATTCCTCTTTCTTAAGCTTTTCATCAGTTATGTCCGTACGTTAATGGCGAACTTCAACATGAGCACGGTAACTGGATTTTCTCATCTCCTTAGTTCTTCAACCAAAATTCCTATGTTGATTCCTGAGTACTATGATCAATGGACTGATAGGATGGAATATTATTTGACTGGGATCGAGAAGATCTATGGCGGTGTATCAAGAGTGGAAACTTTCGTCCTTCGATGCTTGCTGAAACCGGAAATGCTGGTTCATCTGCTGATGTTGCTACTCAAACAAAAAAATACAAATCTAATGACAAACGTTGTATGCGTGAACTACGTGGAGCTCTTCCACCTGTGGTGTGTAACTATGTTTGTGGATGCAAAACAACTAAAGAGATTTGGGATACTTTGAAAGATAAGTATCAAGGGAGTGAGAAGACGAAGAAAAGTTCTATTAAGCAGTGTCTGATTGAATTAGGAGAATTCAAATAGAAGGAAGGTGAGAATATTGAACTATACTATGATCGTCTAAATGAATTAATCTTCAAATGTAGTCGACATGGAGTCAATCGTACAACTTTTGAATTCAACTTGAGGCTTCTTAAAGAGTGGCGTAATATCAGCCTAATGATTAAGACGCAACAAATTTTTGATAACTTTTCTCTTGGTGATCTCTACAATGTTTTGAAGGCTCATGAAATCGAGATCAATGAAATTGCTGAAGAAACAAAAATGAGTTTGGGTGGTCCTCTAGCACTGATGTCGAAGATGAAAGCTAGATAAGTTGAGGTCGAGTCAGCTGAGAATGATGGATCTGAAGATGAAGGTCTGATTGTTAATTCTGATGATGAAGCAGTGACTTTTTACTCAAATAATAAAATGAAGAAATTTTTCAAGAAGACATTCATTTCGAAGTTCAAAGGAAAAAGTGATTTGAAGGGAAACTCATCAAATGCGAAGGATATGAGAGAGGAGACGAAGGTGGAGATAAAAGATAAAAAGTCTAAGGTTGCGAAGCCAGAGAAGAAGCTGAAAGGGGACTCTAGTTTCGATTGCCATTACTATAATGGTGCAAACCATATGGCAAGTGATTACATGTTGAGGAAGAGAGAAGATAAGAAAGAAAGAGTGAAGGATGAGGTGTATTATAATGAGAGGCTAGAAGAGGTCACAACATAGGAAGCTTTTACCTTTCTTGACTTTCGAAAGGGAAAAGATAGATTCGACTACCTATGACTGTGAGAAAAAGATTTCTGAGTTTGACAAGGTCCCTAATGACTTATATGCATATGGTATTATTAAGATAGATGAATGTTTAGATGCAAATGATCTGGTAAAGATTATGAATAAAACTTGACCAAAAACGAACAAATGAAAATTTTGCAAAAGACTGCACATTCGACATCTGATTCTCAAAACAATTTTGCTTATATCGAAGATGATTCTGACAATATCAGTGAAATTGAGGAGGAGGAAGTTGTTGATTGTTCTTAGCTTTCTGTTATTAATATCACTTCTATGGCCAAGGGTAAAGAAATTGTGATGATTCTTTGGTTAAAGTTGACCCCGACCAACCCTTAACATCGAAAGTTCATGACTATGATCATGTGACTGTTGAAGATAGTCAAACCAATAGTGATGATGATGAAGATGTTT